ACTTGAAGTGTAGTTGCAATGTTTTATAATCAAACATAAAACACAGACTTACTTGACAGAATGTACATCTTGCTTGTGCTCCCATGCACGAAGTGTCTTATACTTTCGCACAGTTTGCTCTTCATAACCAACTCCAATTAAATATGACTTGACCATTGACTCATCCATGAGCATTGGTATGCCTGTTAAGTCTTTCTTCCATTCTTTTTGCTTCTGTAGATAAGCTATGGTTGGTAAAGTCCAGCAAGCTGACTGATTCTCGGTCTTTGTAGCGGTCGTGGATGATGTTGACAGATTTAAAGCGTTGCAAACAATGTTTACGAGCGCTTTCTTCCCGATATTTTTCTCAAAATCTACAGAGAGAGCTCTACAAACTTCCTTAAGCTTTGGTTTCGTGAGTTTAGAAGCATCTTTATAACAATTTGGTAGCTTTAAATCCGTTTGTTTGGTTGGAGCCGCCATTTTGCTTGTAACTAGGGCTCCAAAGTTACCCCCCAAGGCGCAAGGTATTTTGGGTAATGTGAAAATGGAGAATAGCAGGAGTTTCAAAGAAATTTAAAATTTTGAACAAACTGGCCATGCCCCCTTTGCCAAAAAATCCAAGATGGCGGACATCAAATGGGATGCCCTCATGGGAACTGCTCTAATTCCTCAACCTCTTATGCTCTTGACTTGCAATTTAACAGAGTACTACATGAGGTATAGAACTAGTCACATACAAAATATGAATATATTTCTTTAAGAGACAATGGAGTTACGTTAGTTTGAAGATTGACTAGCAAAACATCACAAATGGGCTAAGGGGTAAAAGTGAGAAAAACTCAGTCTTAAGGTCGAGACAACTCAAAAAGCGCTTAAAGTTCCTCCTGGCGATCATTGAGCCTATAGCAGGAGTTTCAAAGAAATTTAAAATTTTGACCAAAATGGCCATGCTACCCCTTTGCCAAAAAATCCAACATGGCGGACATCAAATGGGATGCCCTCATGGGAACTGCTGTAATTCCTTAACATGTGATGTTCTTGACTTGCAATTTAAGAGAGTACTACATAAGTTATAGAACTAATCACATACCAAATATGAATACATTTCTTTAAGAGACAATGGAGTTACGTTAGTTTGAAGATTGACTAGCAAAACTTCAAAAATGGGCTAAGGGGTAAGAGTGAGAAAAACTCAGTCTTTAGCTTTGGAGACCACTCAAAAAGCGCTTGAAGTTCCTGCTGGGGATCATTGAGCCTATAGCAGGAGTTTCAAAGAAATTTAAAATTTTGACCAATATGGCCATGCTACCCCTTTGCCAAAAAATCCAAGATGGCGGACATCAAATGGGATGCCCTCATGGGAACTGCTCTAACTCCTCAACCTGTCATGCTCTTGACTTGCAATTTAAGAGACTACTACATAAGGTATAGAACTAGTCACATACCAAATGTGAATATTTTTCTTCAAGAGACAATGGAGTTACGTTAGTTTGAAGATTGACTAGCAAAACATGAGAAATGGGCTAAGGGGTAAGAGTGAGAAAAACTCAGTCTTAAGCTTTGGAGACCACTCAAAAAGCGCTAAAAGTTCCTGTTGGGGATCATTGAGCCTATAGCAGGAGTTTGAAAGAAATTTAAAATTTTGACCAAAAAGGCCATGCTACCCCTTGGCCAAAAAATCCAACATGGCGGACATCAAAAAGAAGGCCCCCATGAAAACTACCCTGACATTGGGAGTTAAAGCAACGCGTGGAATAAAGAAAAGGGCAAAAGCTATAAAATAACCTGAAAGGATATGACAGCTTTATAGGGATGTCCCTGTTATCAGGGGTCTTCGAGGAGCCCTAACCGGGGCGAGAGGGAAGGAATGCTAATAAGTATATGAAATGGGTCACGCTAAATCATAATGTGCTCCGACATTAGCGTGGACAAGTTTTTAAAGGGGCTTTCTCTTGGCAGAGAAAGTTTTTTTGGGGGCCTGGCCGCGTGGGATTGGGTCCGAGTGAGGTGAAATATACAAAATCAGTGTCGCCTTCCCTTGCCTGTTTAGAGAATACCTTTTATGTTGGGGTTGGGGAAGAAAAGGTGATACTGCTTGGGTGAAGTTCCCTCATCTTGTCAACCTAAAAGACGTCGAAAACGTTATTCAAGGACAGTTCGACTCGTGAAAGCTCAGGTGAGAGAGTGAGGGAACCAGCGAGTCAGTAAGCCCTGTTGGTGAAAAAATACGGTTCCCGCGGTGCGTTACCTCCTATTCATGATTGAATGGTGATTGCTGCTTGTCTTATACGTTGATGTTGTCGGAGGACCCTGGCTATTAGAACTTGAGAACCTATTCATGTTGAAATGATGCTTGTTTTACAATGTGATGTTGAAGGAGGACCCTTGTTACTAGAACTTGAGGACCTCCTATTCATGTTTGATGAGGATTGATGCTTGTTTTATGCTGTGATGTTGAAGGAGAACCCTTGTTACTAGAATTTGCGGACCTCCTAACCATGTTTGACAATGATCGAGGCTTGTTTTATGCTGTGTTGATGTCAGAGGACCCTTCTTACTAGAACTTGAGGACTTCCTATTCATGATTGAATGGTGATTGTTGCTTGTCTTACGCGTTGATGTTGTCGGAGGACCCTGGCTATTGGAACTTGAGAACCTATTCATATTGGAATGATGCTTGTTTTACAATGTGATGTTGAAGGAGGACCCTTGTTACTAGAACTTGAGGACATCCTATTCATGTCTGATGAGGATTGATGCTTGTTTTATGCTGTGATGTTGAAGGAGAGCCCTTGTTACTAGAGTTTGCGGACCTCCTAACCATGTTGGACAATGATCGAGGCTTGTTTCATGCTGTGTTGATGTCGGAGGACCCTTGTTACTAGAACTTGAGGACTTCCTATTCATGTTTGATTATGGTTGATGCTTGTTTTATGCTGCGATGTTGTCGGAGGACCCTTGTTATTACAGGAACTCGTATTCACGTTCGAATGATAACCACCTCCCAGTTAGCTCAATGGATAGAGCGCTGGAGTGTTGTGCGTGAGGTCCCCGGACCAACACTCAAGGTCTTAAAATAATTGAGGAGAATATGCCACCTTTCTATAACATCAAGAAATGGTTAAATATTCTAGTCTTCTCGGATAGCGACGAAAAATGGAGGTCCCGTCTCCTAGGGGTAGGAGACGTTAAATTTCCACGCACGAGATTACTGTGTGATGGATGTCCTCCCGTTGGGTGGGATGGGCTAGTTAGGATTGATTGTAAAGCGCTGTTTATCTGTTATTGTAAATAGCGCTCTATAAGTGATAGATTGTTCTGTATTGCCTTAAGCCGTTTAGCTTTTTTAGTTCCAAGGATTCTTATCTTAGTGGTAAAGTCAGGTGTTTATTCAATCTTCAGTTATAAATGGCTCAAGCAAGGAAATCTGAAGAGGAGCTGGCCGACCTCATCAAGCTGATGAGGGAGGCATCTCTTGACGATCATGAAGCGCAGCAAGCCTTGGCATTAGATGAGGGAGTGTCTTTCGATCCCCCCGAGGCCTACTGGCCAGATGACCTGGGCCAGACCCTTGCGAGGGAATTAAAATTCTTCTACTGTTTCGTGGCGGCTTGCCAAATGTGCAATTTAGACTATATCACGAAAGTATGTCGCAGGATGCTGTCTTACACACAGTATCTTTACGAGGTTATCTCTGAGAAGCGCTTTCCTCTCAACAACAACCTGGAGGGCAAAAGTGTTGCAAGACAGAGCGTTAAGATCACGAGAGATGTGTGTCATTCCCTTGACATGTTGCTGAGGGTTCAGAATATGCTGTACAGCACAGTAGAAAAGAGGAGGAGAGCGATGAACGTAGAGGGGGATGTGAGCGATAATACCGAGACTGACCCTCACTATTCTCCTAAGGTTAGTCGGCGCACCCTTTTACAAGTTTCATTGCCAACTCTTTGGTATTCAACTCGAAAGATGGAACTTAAACCACGTTTCTCACTTATTAACTTCCTTAGCCGGGGGACACGTCCGAAGACGATGAAGTCACCTTGGGGGAAGTATGTGAAAGCACCGATGGCGAGAGTGAGAGTGAAGAGGAGGTGGGGGTGCAAGGGGAAAAGGTGCAACCTGCAAGCAAGAAAGAAGGCCCTGCAAAACATAAACGCCAGAAGAAACAATGCCTCGTTCCTGGATGCAACGGCTTTGCAGGATGGAATCTAAAGAGGCACCTAAAAAAGGTATAGCCTAGTATGAAGTGAGATGTCCTAACCATTTACTTCAGTATATGCGCATAGCCAAGTCATACTCAACATGTGCAAGTTCGATTTTTTCATTACTGATATTTGTTTAAGGTTCATCTATCGAAGGGCGAGATTTCCAGCCAGGACGTGGAGCGGCTCTTCGCCCTAGCCACTGCTGGGAGACTAAAGTATGGTGCAATACATACGTATAGAGGAAAGGCCAGTACCTCGAAAACAAAGAGGAGGAGGAGGCGGTGGTGGTGCCCTGTCCAGGGCTGCACGTTTGTTAGGGCGTTCCTGCCCCAACATTCGCGCCAAGTCCACCACTTGGACATTAAAGGTATTATAAACCTTTTTCTGTGTTTTGTAGCGTATAAAGCGTAACCAGGGTCTTTGAACGTGGTGCTGTCACGTTTCTAGACCCGCCGTCCTAAACAACACCTTGTTTATCATTGAAATTATTCTTCTAACTTCAAAGGGCATAGATATATCTCCTACTTAAAGATGGCTCGTCACTATCAGGGGAGTGATGAGGAGTGGCAACCACAACCCTCCACACCCTCTCCCAAGCAGACAAGACCAAGTAAGAGGCCATTGGAGGTGTTATCCCTCACTGAGGACTCAGATTCTGATCCAAAACGCAAGAGGAAAAAGATTGAAAAAGAATACGAGTCTTCTCAGTACTCAGGGAAAGCGGTCCCTCCTTCGCCCCCTCACGCCACAACCAGTGCTCGAAACTAACGGTCGTTCACTCGTCAAAAACGAGTAAAATGTACCATTGGACGAGTGAGAATTACGATTACTCTTACCTTTGGACGAGTAGGCAGTTTCTTGTTTTTATCTGCTTTGTATTTTACGAATTTTAAGTCAATAAAAACATCCATTAAATGTGTGCTTTGTCTTTATTTACGAACGTGCAAAGGGGCATGCCGTGACGCCATTTTGAAAATGGAGAGGAACTGGTTCGAGCAAAGACTTCCTAGCATGCGCAGTAGATAGCAGCATGGCGGGAAATTGATTCGCATCATGGCCGCTCGCCGTTGTTTTTCTTTGCTTGGCTATTTCAGAGGAACAGAGCAAAATACAAAGCAAAGTACAAGCAAAGATAAAGAAGCTTCAACAACAACAGACTGTGAAGATTCTGAGCCAAAAGCTAAAAAAGCCAAAAAGGAAAGGGCTTTTAAGGAAGCATGGAGAAAGGAATTTGCGTGGTTGATGTACGATGATGAGTCAGGGAAAATGTTCTGCCAATATTGCCTACATTTTCCAAACAGCAAAAACAAGCAGTCTTCGTTTTGTTGCGGGAGTCAAAATTTTCAGCTGGACGGGCTAAGATCTCATGAAAGATCTGCTGGACATGTATTGAGTGTGGATGCTAAAGTTGCTAAAACCAAAGGTGCAAGAAAAGGGACAATCGATGCTGAATTGCTAAGACTAGAGAAAGATACTGTTGCAAAGATGGAAAAGCTGTTTAATACAGCCTACTACGTATGCTATCTCAAGATGCCTTTTTCCAGTTTTCCTCATTTGTGTTCTCTTCAAACTAAAAATGGACTTGTGTTAGGACAAACATATAGAAATGATCATGGATGTAAAGAATTTTGTAAGCATATATCCCAGGTCATGAAAGAAGAACAAGCAGCTATTATTAAGAATGCACGATTTCTGTCTGTATTGGCGGATGGAAGCACAGATTTTAGTGTGACTGAGGAGGAAATTGTTTATGTGAGATGTGCTTTGCCATCAGCAGAAACCATAACATTTTATGTGGGACTGAAAGAGGTTCCTAGTGCAAAAGCACCTGGAATTCTTCATGCCATTGAAACAGTGATGGACGAAAAAGATGAGCACTGGAAAGAAAAGCTTATTTCTACCGGTACAGATGGTGCTTCAGTCATGATAGGTAGACTAGGTGGTGTTGTGGCAATGTTGCAAGCCCAAGTTCCACATGTAATTGGAATCCACTGTGTTGCTCATAAATTGGAACTAGCTTTTGCTGACACAGTCAAGTCATGTGAGGTCATGAAACAGGTGAAAGAAGTGCTTACTGGCTGTTGGAAACACTACAGGTACTCTGCCAAGGCAGTAAGAGAACTGAAGGAGCTTGCAGATGCTATGGAGGTCAATGTGGGAAAACCTACAAAGGCTGATGGGACCAGATGGGTACCACACTTTTTACGAGCAATTGAAGTGTTAGTTGGGAAAAACTACAAGGTGATAGTTGCACACTTTGCTCATACAGCAGAAGCAAATGATTCATCTGCTGAGATGCAAGGAAGAGCGAAAAATGTCTACAAAAAACTGACTAGCTACAGATTTTTACAGTACTTGCATTTGTTGTGGGATATTGCTTTTGAAATATCCAAAGTCTCCCTTGTCTTCCAGAGAAATGAAGTTGCAGTATCAGATGTGAAACATGAACTAGACAGGGTTGACCTTGCCCTGCATAACATGGCCAGACGTGGAGGTAGGCATTTGCAGTCATTCCAAGAAAAAGTTGGTGATGGAGAAGTATTTCAGGATGTGAATCTCAAGAGAGCAGAGAATGATACAGAAACATTTGCTAGAAACAGGGAAAATATTCTCAGTGATTCAAGGAGATTTGTGCAGCAAAGGTTTGAGAGTTTCTGCTCTCCTGTTCTGAAAGCAGCAGCTGTGATTACAGATCACAATTCATGGCCAAGAACAAGGGATCAGCTAGGAATGTATGGTGAGGAGGATGTTGTGGTCCTGGCCAATCACTACAGAGATGTGCTGAACAGAAATGACTTTGATATTGATGAGGCAAAAGACGAATGGCTATCCTTGAAACTACATGCCTTGAATACCAGGGCCATGGAAACCCTGACAAAGCAAGTCTTCTGGAACCAAATATACAAAGTAAACCATGCACAGTTCTCACATGTGCTTATGCTCGTGGAGATAAGCTTTACCATGGCTGTTTCAACCTCTTGTTGTGAAAGGGGTTTTTCTTGTATGTCAAGACTTAAGACTGAATACAGAAATTCCCTTGACGTGTCCACAGTCGACCACTTAATGAACATTTGTCTGAATGGTCCCAGTCCAGAAGAATTTGTTGCTGAGAAAGCCATTATTCACTGGGTGCAAGAATCACAGAGGGCTCGCCGACCTAACTTCTTGGATTAAAGTTTAAGGGACAGTGACAGATGAAAACACCTCACAATGTTGATTTTCTAGCTATTTGCCCTAATTTCATAAGCCTCTGGCTATTACATGCTACCCTGGATATAACTGTCGTTTATTGTTATAACTCTTATAATTACAGTTCGCTCACGACAAAGGAAGTGGACCAAATCATGCATTCTGAAACAGCCCAGGAAGGCATACACGCCTTGAAGGTTGCGCAAAATGCCACTAACAGCCGTAACCTAACCACAGCCCAATACGCAGCCGCGCGTGACTACATCCTCATTCAGCTGACAAGGAGCGTCGGCTCACGTCCTGGTGCTTTAGAAACCGCCACCATAGGACAGTTCAAAGCGGCCAAGTGGGATAAGAAGGAACGGTGTAAAGTTATGTTGGTTGTTTCACACAGCGCCCATCCCCCTAGACTCCAACATGGTGCACCAGCTTGAGATATTCATAACAAAACTTAGGCCACTAATGACGAAGGATGTATCGGACTCTGGGAAAATCTTTCTGAAAACCGATGTTGCACCTTTTCAAAAGGCCACCATTGGTCACCGGATCACCGCCTTTGTATCCAAAACAGGTGTATGTGGTGACCGGGCAATAAGCGCCACTGATTTCAGAAAATGGTTACTCACAAAAATGAGAGAGCAGAAGTGGGTGGGCATGCCAGTAAACGAGGACCTCCTAAGACGCCTCATGTGCCACAGTGAAAAACCAGCACAGACCTGGTAGGTAACAGGAATAAATCGAGTTTTAAGCACCTCTGTGTACACTTCTTTCTCGCAGGGATAATGACATTCATACAATGTGGTTTACTTTTATCCCATGTCCAACTCTAGGTACCTCAGAGACGATCTTACTGAGCTTGCGGCTGAGGCGTCTCAGCAGATTAGGGCCCATACAATGCCATCCACGCCGACCAAGACCAAGGCCGTACCCTTGGAGAGCAAAACTGTGCAACCTTGCCCTAGCCAGTCTACCCATTCTCTGACCCCAGAGGAGCAGGCAGCCATTTCCTTCGTCTTTGAAGACGACATCTGGCATCGAAATTCTCCCCGGAGGGAACGTGTGGTCTCTCTGATGGGGAAGGATGAGGTCCTGGGGAAGATTGCGTTGTCGGAAAAGAAGGTTAAGCGGGTGATCGACAGGGTGCGGTAATTGGTCCAGTCCCAGAAACCTGTCGTCCCCAAAGACCTCCCGAAGGAAGATCCCGCAGAAAGGACAAGGAGCTTTGTCCTGTCCCACCCCTTGGGAGAACAAGACATACCTGAATCGTCTGCCGCTTCGATATACTCGTTGGCGTCTGCAAGACAGGCATGGTCAGCCGAGGAGACAGTCCTCATAAAAGAAGCAGTTGCGCACTTGGACAAGGTCCCCACCCACTCAGAGATAAGATCCATTTTCGGATCCAGCATCCGACTGGAGCAGATTTTGCGAAATAATTCTTTCGACCGTGTGAGGAACAAGGTTCACAACCTATTCAAGAAGAAATACCATTAGACCGCGGCTGGGTACCTTAAAAAATATTCAAAAAAAAAAATAGCCAAAAAAAAGTCTGTGTCGTCACTGTTGTCTGATTCTGAGTGATTCGTCAGGGATCAAGTGCGAGCTGGGGTAACCAACTCTCGGGGAGTGCCCCACGTATCACTCAGTCTCGCGACAACAGGTGCATCACATCACACGGCCCCTGTTGTGTTTTTTTTTTTTGGTTACATCGTTGCGTTTTGTTTTTTTTTTCGTTGCGTTTTTAACTCCGCCATTGCCGGTCCCAAGCCCGGATGAGAAAGGAGGAGGGTTGGGCCTTGGACTTGCATCCAAGGCCCGTAAAAAACACTTCAGAAAGGGAATAAACTGTTATTTAAGTTCTGATAGAGACAAAGACGATAGCTATGACTATAAGGAAGACTTAAGGAAAATTGAAGAGGAGGATGGATATGTCGCAGGATACTGTCTTACACAGAGCATCTTTACGAGAGCATGTCCGCCATTGCGGGTCCCAAGCCCGGATTAAAAAGGAGAAGGGTGGGGCCTTGGACTTGCATCCGAGGCCCGTAAAAAACACTAAAAACCAAGGGAATAAACTGTTATTTAAGTTCTGATAGAGACAAAGACGATAGGTATGACTATAACGAAGACTGAAGGAACACTGAAGAGTAGCTGGCCGACCAAGCTGATGAGGGAAGCATCTCTTGACGATCATGGAGCGCAGAAGGCCTTGGCAATGAAGGAGTGCCTCTTGAGCCCCCTGAGGCCTATTATCCCGATGACATGGGCCAGACATGGGCTTTGCAGTTTCTTTAGATTGACATGAGCCAGACCCTTGTGAGGGAAATAAAATTCTTCTACTACTTCGTGGCGGCTTGCCAAATGTGCAATTTAGACCACATCAAGAATGTATGTCGCAGTATCTTTACGAAAGCATCGCTGAGAACCGCCTTCCTCTCAACAACAACCTGGAGAGCAAACATGTTGCAAGAAAAAGCATTAAGATCACGAGAGATGTGTGTCATTCCGCTGACATGTTGCGGAGAGTCCAGAATATGCTGTACAGCACTGTAGAAAGGAGGAGAGAGATAAACGTGGAGGGGAACGTGAGCGATGATACCGAGACTGCCCCTGACTAATCTCTCTCTTTGGTATTAAACTCGAAGAAACCTAAACCACCTTTCTCACTTATTAACTTATTAACAATGAAGTCACCTTGGGGGAAGTATATCAAAGCACCGATGGAGAGAGTGAGAGTGGAGAGGTGGTGGGGGTGGGAGGGGAAAAGAAGGTGCAACCTGCAAGCAAGATTACAAGCCCTACAAAAAATCAACGACAATCAACAAACCCAGTAAGAGGCCATTGGTGCTATCCCTCACCGACCACTCTGATTCAGAACCAAAACGGAGGAGGAAAAAAAATTGAAATGGAAGACGAGTCTTCTCAGTACTCGTGGGAAGCGGTGCCTCCTTCGTCCCCTCACGCCACAACACCATCTGTGGCGCCTGCATCAAGTCTTTGGGAAGATTGTGTTTTCGGAAAAGAAGGTTAAGCGGGTGCTCGACAGGCTACGGTACTTGGTCCAGTCTCAGAACCCTGCCGGCACAGAAACCTCCCAGAGGAAGATCCCGCAGCAAGGACCAAGAGCTATGTCCTGTCCCACCAGTTGGCAGAAGAACACAGAGGTGTTCTTCTGCCAAAAGTCTGCTGCGTCACATTACTCGTCAGCGTCTGGTAGACAGGCATCGACGGACGAGGATACAGTCCTCATAACAGAGGCAATTGTGCACTTGGACAAGGTCCCCGTGAACTCACAGATAAAATCCATTTTCTGCTGCTGGAGCAGATCCTTCGAAATAATACCTTCGACCGTGTGAGGAACAAGGTTCACAACCTATTCAAGAAACGCCATTAGACACGACCGTGGCTGTGTACCTTAGAAAAACAAATTAGAAAAGCAAATTAGGAAAAAAAAATTGAGAAAGACAAAAAAAAGTCCGTGTGGTCACTGTTGTCTGATTCTGAGTGATTCGTTAGGGATCAACTGCGAGCTGGGGTAACCAGCCCCCGGGGAGTGCCCCACGTATCACTCAGTCTAACGACAACAGGTGCATCACATCACACGGCACCTGTTGTGTTTTTTTTCGTGACGTCGTTGCGTTTTGTTTTTGTTTTCGTTGCGTTTTAACTCGGCCATTGCCGGTCCCAAGCCCGGATGAGAAAGGAGGAGGGTTGGGCCTTGGTCTGGCATCCCAAGTCTGTGAAAAACAGTTGAGCAACGGTTTGAAGATTGACTAGCAAAACATGAAAAAATGGGCTAAAGGGTGAAAGTGAAAAAAACTCGTCTTAAGGCTGGGAGACCACTAGAAAGGTGCTAGAAGTTCCTGTTGGGGATCATTGAGCCTATAGCAGGAGGTTCAGGGAAATTCAAAATTTTGACCCAAATGGCTATGCTACTCCTTAGCCAAAAAAAAATTTGACCAAAATGGCCCTGCTACTCCTTAGCCAAAAACTCCAAGATGGCAGATAAGATGCCCTCATGGGTACTTCCCTAACTCCTCAACCTGTCATGCTCTTGACTTGCAAATTATGAGAGGACTACATGAGGTATAGAACCTGTTGTGTTTTTTTTTCCTTACGTCGTTCCGTTTTTTTTTTCCTTCAGTTTTCAACTCCGCCATTGCCGGACCCAAGCCCGGATGAGAAAGGAGGAGGGTTGGGCCTTGGTCTGGCATCCCAAGCCTGTGAAAAACACTTGAGCAACGGAATAAAGTGTTATTTAAGTTCTGATAGAGTATTGTTCTTTGTTGTTGGAAGGAATAATGGACTTCAAGTTTGTTTTATCAAACAACAACATATTATACATCGTTAGAAAGGTCTTGACGAGAGGAACATTTTGGTGTATTTAAAACCCTTCAATGCGCAGGCCTTGGACTATGCCTAGGACTAAGACTATGATTGTGACTAGCACTCTTACTATGACAATGATTATGACAGGCTAGGAAGATTACTATTACTAATACTAGGACGATAGATTTGACTATGTCCAAGAGTAACGCCATGGACATGGTTATTGTCATAGTCATAGTCCTCCTAATCATAGTCAGAGTACTAGTCATAGTCAGACAGTCATAGTCATAGTCATAGTTTTGGTCATGGCTATGACTTTGATAACGACTATGACTATGACTATGACTGATACTAGGAGTCACAACCATAGTATGGTCATAGTCGTTATCAAAGTCATAGCCATGGCCAAAACTATAACTATGACTATGTCTGATGTATGACTGGGACTATGACTCTGTCTATGACTAGGACAATGATTATGACTATGGCCTAACTCTTAGTCATAGTCATATCTATAGTCATAGTATCAGTAATACTCATAGTCATAGCCGTAGTCACAACTATAGTATCGTCAGAGTCATTATCAAAGTCATAGCCATGACGAAAACTATGGCTATGACTATGACTATGTCTGACTATGACTAAGACTATGGCTATGACTATGACTACGACTAGGACTAGGACTATGACTATG